AGTCCGTAGATCGCCTTCAACAATTCGAAGCAGTCAAAGTCTTCATCAGCTTCGACCCCTTCTGGGATCGCGCAGAATACCTTTTCCTTCATCTCTCCGCATAGCAAAGCTGCCACCACGTCCAGTAGGTCCAGTGTCCAGTCAAAAGTACTTCGTGATTGCAACTACCATGCGCAGCGTCACGTACTTGACTACCGGAAAAACGTCTCCGTGTAGTCGATGCCATATTTCTGCTTGAACCCTTTTGCCACGAGACGCGCCTTGTATTTCTCGATGGATCCATCAGCTATCCGCTTGATATTGAATACCCACTTGGTGCCAATGGTATGCTGTCCAGCTGGCTGTTTGGGCGCTCGAAGCACGCCACGAAGTTTCATCGAGTCCAACTCGGCACAGATTGCTTTACGCCAATGCACTTGATCCGGTCCATCAACAGCATCTTTTAAACGTTGTCGGCTCAGACAAGTCAGTACCTTCGACTGCGTTGACACTCGCTCGCCAAAAGACTTGAGGTGTAGCATCCTCGTTATCTTCGTCACTGCCCTTTCGCTCTTCGTCCAGATTGGCTCGAGCGCTTGACCGTCGCTTCGCTTGGTGCGTTTCAAAGTCATCCGGTGCACTTGCTTCTTCGAACCCGGTTCCACGACGCTCAGGAAGTGTCCGTTGCAGAGCTTGTTCTTGGCTGTTTGAACGGCTTTTGCGTTTTCCAATTTGCTTGAACTGCATAGGGTGAGGCTCGTCGCTGATGTTCATCGATTCGATATCCAGCGCAGTGTCATCAACAATTTCTTGTGGTAGCGTCGGCGAGAAACCAAACGTTGATTCGTCGAATGTGACATCGCGAGATATCACCACTTGATCCGCTTCAATGTCGTAAACGCGATATGCCTTTGACACTTCTTCGTACCCCATGAATCGTCCTTCACGGGCCTTCGGATCCCATTTTGATCTCTTTTCCTTAGGGGTCAGCACAAATGGTCGGCAGCCGAAAACCCGCATGTGCTTCACACTTGGTCGAAATCCGTTGACGATCTCGAACGGGGTTTAATCTTGGCACTTGGGCGATGGTAGGCGATTCTTGATGTAGATTGCCGTTGTTGCATTGGTAGAGAGAGGAGCTGATGGAGCGGAGAGGCTGAAGAGAGTAGAGAAGAAGAGACTTGCTCACTAGTTGGAAGATTCGAAAGTGATTGATTTATCGGGGCTTACTACTTACTACATGATTTTTATGTGGTGCACATATAAATCATTTGAAGTGTCTCGTCATCCTACGCGTCTAATCAACTGTGTTAATTACCGTAAGAACTACGTCGTAAATACAAAGCTGAACAGGCGGTTCGGATTGGACGGTCATGGTTGATGAACTTTAGACTTCTTGGTCCGAGTGCAAAACGCAAAGTGAATATATATTTATAATAGGTACTTAGTTCGCAACTTTGAATACTACCTCTAAGCCTATTATTCGCAGTGACGTCATCCAGTGACGTCACCCACTGACGTCACCCACTGACGTCATGCAATGACGTCATCCAGTGACGTCATTTCCTGACTTCGCCCTTACTGGTACATACCGGTACCCACCGGTATAGCGAAGCTTGGTCTTCCACTTGCTTCAACACTTGACGCAGCTTGACGAGGTGTCTTCTTCACAGCCGCTGTCTTTTCAACACTCCCTCTCGACTCGTTAGCTGCGGCACCTTGGATCCCAAGTCGATCGCGAATGTTTTCAAATTGTACAGCGGCGATCGGCTTGGTCATCATGTCTGCCAGCATATCTTGAGTCGGGCAATACTCCAAAACGACTTCACCTGATTCCACCTTCTCACGCACAAAATGGTAGCGTATGTCGATGTGTTTTGTTCTCTTATGGAACTCCGGGTTCTTGGCGAGAGCGATTGATCCTTGGTTGTCTTCATACATCTTGATCGCTTCGTCGCTTGTCATCTCACCAAGTTCCCCCAAAAGCACTTTGAGCCATACTGCTTCTTTGGTTGCTTCGGAAAGCGCCATGTATTCTGCTTCTGTTGAAGATAGCGCGACCGTCCGTTGTTTCTGGCTTTTCCAGCTGATGCATCCTCCGCTCATCATGAACACATAGCCGCTTGTACTTCGTCTTGACTCAATGTCGCCGGCCCAGTCTGCGTCGGTGTACCCGCAGATACGGCTTCCTTCTTCACGTGTAAACTCAAGACCATGATTGGGCGTTGCTTGCAGGTATCTCAGCACACGCTTCAAAGCTTGCCAGTGAGTCGGGCATGGGTCGGACGAGAACTGGGATAATGATCCCACTGCAGCAGCTAGATCCGGACGTGTGGCGACCATGAGATACATGATGCCTCCGACAGCACTTCGATATGGCACGTTGCACATGGTGTCTTCGTGCTTGCATTCTTGTTCACACATGTTCTTGGTTAGCTTCAGGCCGGGATCTTGAGGCGTCTTCACTGGCTTGCTGTTATCCATTCCGAACTTGGTTAACACGGACTTGAGAAACTTGGTTTGTTGTACAGTCACCATTCCCGTCTTACGGTCGTTCTTGATCTCCATGCCGAGAAATAATCGAGCTCACCGAGATCCGTCATTTCGAAGCGTTTGCTCAGCGCCATCTTGGTTGACTTGAGGAGTTCGTTGTTGCTGCTGGCCAGGATGAGATCATCGACGTAGAGCACCACGAGAATCATGTCTTGGTCGTCTCGCTTGATGTAGATGCAGTGGTCCGATTCGCACTTCTTGAATCCCATCTTGATCATGAACCCATCGATTGTTTGGTTCCACATGCGAGGCGATTGCTTCAAGCCGTAGAGTGATCTCTTTAGCTTGCACACATAGTCCGGCTGTGTTGCATCCAGGTATCCGTCCGGCTGGTCCATGTAGATGTCTTCGTTGAGGGAGCCGTTAAGAAACGCTGTCTTGACGTCCATCTGATGTAGCATTAGGCCGTACTTGGCCGCCATACTGAGCACCACACGAATCGATGTGAACTTGGCCACCGGTGCGAAAGTTTCTTCATAGTCAACTCCGAATTTCTGTGAGAATCCTTTGGCCACAAGTCTTGCCTTGAAACGTTCAACTTCGCCATCTTGATTCTCCTTTACACGAAAAACCCATCGGCACCCGATGGCCTTGCGACCTTTCGGAAGAGGCACGATTTCCCACGTGTCGTTTCTCTGAAGCGAATCGAACTCCGAGTCACACGCTTCTTTCCACTTGCCGGAGTCGCTTGATTCCATCGCCGACTTGAATGTAGTCGGCGTTTCCCCCACTGAATCAACGATGTAGGCTGCTTCAAAATCCATTGCAGCCGCTGACACATGCTCAAGCGACGGACCTCTGTATGTTCTTCGCTTGGGACTTGGAATGACGGTAGCTTTCTCAAGTGATTGAGTGCGCGTGTGTCTCTTGATGTTGCTCTTCGAAGACCTGGTGTCTTCGTTGTCATCGTCGCTCGAGTCCATGTCGTCGTCAGTTTTACCTTCTTCTTTTTCTTCGTCCTCATCATGATCATCAAACTCAACGACACTTGACTCATCGTTGTAGTTGCGCGGACCTTCATCAAACTTGTCTTCCATGAATGTGGCATCGCGACTGATCTTGATCGCTCCTGTTGACACTTCCTCAAATCGATATGACTTCTGGTGTTCGGCGTATCCCAGGAAACGACAGAGTGATGACTTGGAGTCGAACTTCGCGCGTTTGTCTTGAGGCACTTGAACATACGCGTGGCATCCAAACACTTTAAGGTTGGCCAGAATCGGTTTCTTCATCGTCCACACTTGATATGGAGACTTGTCTTGGTGAATGGCACGTGTTGGACAGCGGTTTCGAAGAAACATCGCCGTCATCACTGCTTCACCCCAGTAGCTCTTTCCCAGTCCAGCGTGTTCCATCATGCAACGCGCACACTCGACCAGCGTGCGATTCATTCTCTCAGCTACTCCGTTTAGCTGAGGAGTATATGGGGGTGTGAACCTTTGTTGTATTCCCCGTTCCGCGCAGAATCGTGCCAGCTTGTCGGACTTGTATTCACCCCCATTGTCGCTTTGAAGGTACTTCACGCGCTTTCCGGTTTGCGTTTCGGCCATCGCAGCGTATTCCATGAACTTCGCCGCAACTTCAGATTTGCTCTTGAGCAGATAGACGACACAGTATCTTGACTTGTCATCAATGAATGTCACGAAGTACCGTTTTCCACTGAAAGTTGCCATCGACATCGGTCCGCATACGTCGCTGTGAATCACTTCGAGGAGTTTGGAGGTGCGAGCTGTAGTGTTTGATTGGAAGCGCACTCGAGTCTGTTTTCCCAGAGCACAACCTTCACACACGTCCCACTTCTTCACCGAAGATATGTCGATGCCAATTCCAATGTTCTTCGTCACGATGCAATTGAGTCCATCGTGACCTATGTGGCCAAGCCGAAGGTGCCAGAGGTACGACTTGGTGCCCCCTTGACATCCCGACGACTTGGCTGCATTTGCTTGTTCCGGCGCCACTGGAGTCATTTGCAGCTTGAACAGTCCTTTACCTTCACGGGCACCAATTTTCCACTTGGTCCCTTTCGCTTTTCCATAGCACCCATCCTTCGTGAACGTCACTGGGCCGACATCCTTGGTGAAGCGGCCGACCGAGAACAGGTTTCTGGATAACTTTGGGATGTGCCACACGTTTGTGAGCACACCTTTCTTCATCCCTTGGGGTGTCTTCATCGACATGACAATGTCCCCACTGCCGATTGCTTGGACGATTCCATCATCCGCGAGATGGACATCCACAGCGTCAAACCCCTTGTAGTTCCGCATGAACTTCTTGGAGCACGTCATGTGCTGCGTCGCCCCGGAGTCGACCATCCAGATGTCGCTCGATTTCGCAGATGTCGTTTCACCGATCGAAAAGAGGTAGTCGCCCGAGTCTTCTTCTTGAGCGACGTTTGCACGTTGTGATCGATAGCGGTCGCCGCTGTCTTGAGCACGCTGTGGCCGGTGTCTCTCCGTGTTTTCTTGGATGCGCGAGGGGCACTCCGCCATCCAGTGACCAATCTTTCCGCAATTGTGGCACGGCCAGGACTTCTTCACTGGTCGCCCTTTGCGCTGATTGTCCCTTGTGATGAACGCTTGACCTTGCGAAGCTTCATCACCTTTACTTCCTTGCTCCCTCCGCTTCATTTCTTCATGAAGCAGTCGAGACGTCACGAGCTCCCAGCTAAGAGTGTCTGAGCGCGACTCCAAAGCTGTGATCAAGAATTGATACGAGTCACTCAGGCTGCCGAGAAGTGTGATCACCAGATCGTCCTCGCAGACTGGAGCCCCCACCGCTTCTAGCTGTTCCGCCAGCGTCTTGAGCTTGTTGATGTGTTCGAGTACATCGTCGCCTTCTTCCATCATTGTCGTGAAGAAGCGACGGCGCAAGAACAGCTTGTTGGCAAGACTCTTCTTCTCGAAGTGGTCTTCCAACCTTGACCATGCGTCGCATGCACCACTTGCCGACCGGACCAACGGTAGCTGGGAATCTTCCATGGCTAGACAGATCACTGCCATCGCCTTTCTTGACTTCCTCTTGTACGTCGCTTGGTCCAACTGAGTCTCGCACTGTTCCGCCTTGATCTCACCGCTGACGACCTCCCATAGGTCCCGTTCCTCCAGCACCATCTGCATCTTGAACTTCCAGGCGTGGAAGTTAGTTCCATCGAACTTGGAGATGCGGAGGGAGGAGGCGTCCATGGCAGCTAAGCTTGAATTGTTGGCGGTTTCAGAGTCTGACGAACTTGGGCTCATAACCTGATGAACTTTAGACTTCTTGGTCCGAGTGCAAAACGCAAAGTGAATATATATTTATAATAGGTACTTAGTTCGCAACTTTGAATACTACCTCTAAGCCTATTATTCGCAGTGACGTCATCCAGTGACGTCACCCACTGACGTCACCCACTGACGTCATGCAATGACGTCATCCAGTGACGTCATTTCCTGACTTCGCCCTTACTGGTACATACCGGTACCCACCGGTATAGCGAAGCTTGGTCTTCCACTTGCTTCAACACTTGACGCAGCTTGACGAGGTGTCTTCTTCACAGCCGCTGTCTTTTCAACAATGGTTACCAATAATGGTCGGAAACCGATGACCGCCAACTAAGAGCTCACCGTAATTATGGAAACGTAACTCACAGCAAATGCAATGTCCGGTCGTGTCGCGGTCATCAAGTGCATTAAAGCGCCTACTGCTTCACAAAACGGGGCGTCGATTTTGGTTACTGCACTGCTTGGTATGAGTCAAGAACTGATGTCTGTTGGGCTGGTGACGGCTTTGCAGTCGCTCATGCCAAAACGCTTGAGAACATCTTCCACGTAGCGTCACTGGCACATCGTCACGCTACCGTTGTCGTTGTACACCAGCTCGATGCCCAACACGAATGCGCACTTGCCGCTGTCAGTCATTTCGAAACGCGCCTTCAAGTCACTCTTGGTACGCATAATCAGTTCGGTCGAGCTGCCAGTCACCAACACATCATCGACGTATACCAGCAAAAGCACGCACTCGCCACTTGTAATCTTGAGATAAAGACACGGGTCAAAATCGGATACTTGAAATCCAATGGAGCAGACGAACTCATGGAAAGTCTCATTCCTTGCGCGCGATGCTTGTTTTAGTCCGTAGATCGCCTTCAACAATTCGAAGCAGTCAAAGTCTTCATCAACTTCGACCCCTTCTGGGATCGCGCAGAATACCTTTTCCTTCATCTCTCCGCATAGCAAAGCTGTCACCACGTCCAGTAGGTCCAGTGTCCAGTCAAAGTACTTCGTGATTGCAACTACCATGCGCAGCGTCACGTACTTGACTACCGGAAAAACGTCTCCGTGTAGTCGATGCCATATTTCTGCTTGAACCCTTTTGCCACGAGACGCGCCTTGTATTTCTCGATGGATCCATCAGCTATCCGCTTGATATTGAATACCCACTTGGTGACAATGGTATGCTGTCCAGCTGGCTGTTTGGGCGCTCGAAGCACGCCACGAAGTTTCATCGAGTCCAACTCGGCACAGATTGCTTTACGCCAATGCACTTGATCCGGTCCATCAACAGCATCTTTAAACGTTGTCGGCTCAGACAAGTCAATACCTTCGACTGCGTTGACACTCGCTCGCCAAAAGACTTGAGGTGTAGCATCCTCGTTATCTTCGTCACTGCCCTTTCGCTCTTCGTCCAGATTGGCTCGAGCGCTTGACCGTCGCTTCGCTTGGTGCGTTTCAAAGTCATCCGGTGCACTTGCTTCTTCGAACCCGGTTCCACGACGCTCAGGAAGTGTCCGTTGCAGAGCTTGTTCTTGGCTGTTTGAACGGCTTTTGCGCTTTCCAATTTGCTTGAACTGCATAGGGTGAGGCTCGTCGCTGATGTTCATCGATTCGATATCCAGCGCAGTGTCATCAACAATTTCTTGTGGTAGCGTCGGCGAGAAACCAAACGTTGGTTCGTCGAATGTGACATCGCGAGATATCACCACTTGATCCGCTTCAATGTCGTAAACGCGATATGCCTTTGACACTTCTTCGTACCCCATGAATCGTCCTTCACGAGCCTTTGGATCCCATTTCGATCTCTTTTCCTTAGGGGTCAGCACAAATGGTCGGCAGCCGAAAACCCGCATGTGCTGATGAACTTTAGACTTCTTGGTCCGAGTGCAAAACGCAAAGTGAATATATATTTATAATAGGTACTTAGTTCGCAACTTTGAATACTACCTCTAAGCCTATTATTCGCAGTGACGTCATCCAGTGACGTCATTTCCTGACTTCGCCCTTACTGGTACATACCGGTACCCACCGGTATAGCGAAGCTTGGTCTTCCACTTGCTTCAACACTTGACGCAGCTTGACGAGGTGTCTTCTTCACAGCCGCTGTCTTTTCAACACTCCCTCTCGACTCGTTAGCTGCGGCACCTTGGATCCCAAGTCGATCGCGAATGTTTTCAAATTGTACAGCGGCGATCGGCTTGGTCATCATGTCTGCCAGCATATCTTGAGTCGGGCAATACTCCAAAACGACTTCACCTGATTCCACCTTCTCACGCACAAAATGGTAGCGTATGTCGATGTGTTTTGTTCTCTTATGGAACTCCGGGTTCTTGGCGAGAGCGATTGATCCTTGGTTGTCTTCATACATCTTGATCGCTTCGTCGCTTGTCATCTCACCAAGTTCCCCCAAAAGCACTTTGAGCCATACTGCTTCTTTGGTTGCTTCGGAAAGCGCCAGTATTCCTTTGTAGTTCTGCTTCTGTTGAAGATAGCGGACCGTCCATTGTTTCTGGCTTTTCCAGCTGATGCATCCTCCGCTCATCATGAACACATATCCGCTTGTACTTCGTCTTGACTCAATGTCGCCGGCCCAGTCTGCGTCGGTGTACCCGCAGATACGGCTTCCTTCTTCACGTGTAAACTCAAGACCATGATTGGGCGTTGCTTGCAGGTATCTCAGCACACGCTTCAAAGCTTGCCAGTGAGTCGGGCATGGGTCGGACGAGAACTGGGATAATGATCCCACTGCAGCAGCTAGATCCGGACGTGTGGCGACCATGAGATACATGATGCCTCCGACAGCACTTCGATATGGCACGTTGCACATGGTGTCTTCGTGCTTGCATTCTTGTTCACACATGTTCTTGGTTAGCTTCAGGCCGGGATCTTGAGGCGTCTTCACTGGCTTGCTGTTATCCATTCCGAACTTGGTTAACACGGACTTGAGAAACTTGGTTTGTTGTACAGTCACCATTCCCGTCTTACGGTCGTTCTTGATCTCCATGCCGAGAAAGTAATCGAGCTCACCGAGATCCGTCATTTCGAAGCGTTTGCTCAGCGCCATCTTGGTTGACTTGAGGAGTTCGTTGTTGCTGCTGGCCAGGATGAGATCATCGACGTAGAGCACCACGAGAATCATGTCTTGGTCGTCTCGCTTGATGTAGATGCAGTGGTCCGATTCGCACTTCTTGAATCCCATCTTGATCATGAACCCATCGATTGTTTGGTTCCACATGCGAGGCGATTGCTTCAAGCCGTAGAGTGATCTCTTTAGCTTGCACACATAGTCCGGCTGTGTTGCATCCAGGTATCCGTCCGGCTGGTCCATGTAGATGTCTTCGTTGAGGGAGCCGTTAAGAAACGCTGTCTTGACGTCCATCTGATGTAGCATTAGGCCGTACTTAGCCGCCATACTGAGCACCACACGAATCGATGTGAACTTGGCCACCGGTGCGAAAGTTTCTTCATAGTCAACTCCGAATTTCTGTGAGAATCCTTTGGCCACAAGTCTTGCCTTGAAACGTTCAACTTCGCCATCTTGATTCTCCTTTACACGAAAAACCCATCGGCACCCGATGGCCTTGCGACCTTTCGGAAGAGGCACGATTTCCCACGTGTCGTTTCTCTGAAGCGAATCGAACTCCGAGTCACACGCTTCTTTCCACTTGCCGGAGTCGCTTGATTCCATCGCCGACTTGAATGTAGTCGGCGTTTCCCCCACTGAATCAACGATGTAGGCTGCTTCAAAATCCATTGCAGCCGCTGACACATGCTCAAGCGACGGACCTCTGTATGTTCTTCGCTTGGGACTTGGAATGACGGTAGCTTTCTCAAGTGATTGAGTGCGCGTGTGTCTCTTGATGTTGCTCTTCGAAGACCTGGTGTCTTCGTTGTCATCGTCGCTCGAGTCCATGTCGTCGTCAGTTTTACCTTCTTCTTTTTCTTCGTCCTCATCATGATCATCAAACTCAACGACACTTGACTCATCGTTGTAGTTGCGCGGACCTTCATCAAACTTGTCTTCCATGAATGTGGCATCGCGACTGATCTTGATCGCTCCTGTTGACACTTCCTCAAATCGATATGACTTCTGGTGTTCGGCGTATCCCAGGAAACGACAGAGTGATGACTTGGAGTCGAACTTCGCGCGTTTGTCTTGAGGCACTTGAACATACGCGTGGCATCCAAACACTTTAAGGTTGGCCAGAATCGGTTTCTTCATCGTCCACACTTGATATGGAGACTTGTCTTGGTGAATGGCACGTGTTGGACAGCGGTTTCGAAGAAACATCGCCGTCATCACTGCTTCACCCCAGTAGCTCTTTCCCAGTCCAGCGTGTTCCATCATGCAACGCGCACACTCGACCAGCGTGCGATTCATTCTCTCAGCTACTCCGTTTAGCTGAGGAGTATATGGGGGTGTGAACCTTTGTTGTATTCCCCGTTCCGCGCAGAATCGTGCCAGCTTGTCGGACTTGTATTCACCCCCATTGTCGCTTTGAAGGTACTTCACGCGCTTTCCGGTTTGCGTTTCGGCCATCGCAGCGTATTCCATGAACTTCGCCGCAACTTCAGATTTGCTCTTGAGCAGATAGACGACACAGTATCTTGACTTGTCATCAATGAATGTCACGAAGTACCGTTTTCCACTGAAAGTTGCCATCGACATCGGTCCGCATACGTCGCTGTGAATCACTTCGAGGAGTTTGGAGGTGCGAGCTGTAGTGTTTGATTGGAAGCGCACTCGAGTCTGTTTTCCCAGAGCACAACCTTCACACACGTCCCACTTCTTCACCGAAGATATGTCGATGCCAATTCCAATGTTCTTCGTCACGATGCAATTGAGTCCATCGTGACCTATGTGGCCAAGCCGAAGGTGCCAGAGGTACGACTTGGTGCCCCCTTGACATCCCGACGACTTGGCTGCATTTGCTTGTTCCGGCGCCACTGGAGTCATTTGCAGCTTGAACAGTCCTTTACCTTCACGGGCACCAATTTTCCACTTGGTCCCTTTCGCTTTTCCATAGCACCCATCCTTCGTGAACGTCACTGGGCCGACATCCTTGGTGAAGCGGCCGACCGAGAACAGGTTTCTGGATAACTTTGGGATGTGCCACACGTTTGTGAGCACACCTTTCTTCATCCCTTGGGGTGTCTTCATCGACATGACAATGTCCCCACTGCCGATTGCTTGGACGATTCCATCATCCGCGAGATGGACATCCACAGCGTCAAACCCCTTGTAGTTCCGCATGAACTTCTTGGAGCACGTCATGTGCTGCGTCGCCCCGGAGTCGACCAGCCAGATGTCGCTCGATTTCGCAGATGTCGTTTCACCGATCGAAAAGAGGTAGTCGCCCGAGTCTTCTTCTTGAGCGACGTTTGCACGTTGTGATCGATAGCGGTCGCCGCTGTCTTGAGCACGCTGTGGCCGGTGTCTCTCCGTGTTTTCTTGGATGCGCGAGGGGCACTCCGCCATCCAGTGACCAATCTTTCCGCAATTGTGGCACGGCCAGGACTTCTTCACTGGTCGCCCTTTGCGCTGATTGTCCCTTGTGATGAACGCTTGACCTTGCGAAGCTTCATCACCTTTACTTCCTTCCTTGCTCCTTCCGCTTCATTTCTTCATGAAGCAGTCGAGACGTCACGAGCTCCCAGCTAAGAGTGTCTGAGCGCGACTCCAAAGCTGTGATCAAGAATTGATACGAGTCACTCAGGCTGCCGAGGAGTGTGATCACCAGATCGTCCTCGCAGACTGGAGCCCCCACCGCTTCTAGCTGTTCCGCCAGCGTCTTGAGCTTGTTGATGTGTTCGAGCACATCGTCGCCTTCTTCCATCATTGTCGTGAAGAAGCGACGGCGCAAGAACAGCTTGTTGGCAAGACTCTTCTTCTCGAAGTGGTCTTCCAACCTTGACCATGCGTCGCATGCACCACTTGCCGACCGGACCAACGGTAGCTGGGAATCTTCCATGGCTAGACAGATCACTGCCATCGCCTTTCTTGACTTCCTCTTGTACGTCGCTTGGTCCAACTGAGTCTCGCACTGTTCCGCCTTGATCTCACCGCTGACGACCTCCCATAGGTCCCGTTCCTCCAGCACCATCTGCATCTTGAACTTCCAGGCGTGGAAGTTAGTTCCATCGAACTTGGAGATGCGGAGGGAGGAGGCGTCCATGGCAGCTAAGCTTGAATTGTTGGCGGTTTCAGAGTCTGACGAACTTGGGCTCATAACCTGATGAACTTTAGACTTCTTGGTCCGAGTGCAAAACGCAAAGTGAATATATATTTATAATAGGTACTTAGTTCGCAACTTTGAATACTACCTCTAAGCCTATTATTCGCAGTGACGTCATCCAGTGACGTCATTTCCTGACTTCGCCCTTACTGGTACATACCGGTACCCACCGGTATAGCGAGGCTTGGTCTTCCACTTGCTTCAACACTTGACGCAGCTTGACGAGGTGTCTTCTTCACAGCCGCTGTCTTTTCAACATGTGCTTCACACTTGGTCGAAATCCGTTGACGATCTCGAACGGGGTTTAATCTTGGCACTTGGGCGATGGTAGGCGATTCTTGATGTAGATTGCCGTTGTTGCATTGGTAGAGAGAGGAGCTGATGGAGCGGAGAGGCTGAAGAGAGTAGAGAAGAAGAGACTTGCTCACTTGTTGGAAGATTCGAAAGTAATTGATTATCGGGGCTTACTACTTACTACATGATTTTTATGTGGTGCACATATAACTCATTTGAAGTGTCTCGTCATCCTACGCGTCTAATCAACTGTGTTAATTACCGTAAGAACTACGTCGTAAATACAAAGCTGAACAGGCGGTTCGGATTGGACGGTCATGGTTACCAATAATGGTCGGAAACCGATGACCGCCAACTAAGAGCTCACCGTAATTATGGAAACGTAACTCACAGCAAATGCAATGTCCGGTCGTGTCGCGGTCATCAAGTGCATTAAAGCGCCTACTGCTTCACAAAACGGGGCGTCGATTTTGGTTACTGCACTGCTTGGTATGAGTCAAGAACTGATGTCTGTTGGGCTGGTGACGGCTTTGCAGTCGCTCATGCCAAAACGCTTGAGAACATCTTCCACGTAGCGTCACTGGCACATCGTCACGCTACCGTTGTCGTTGTCCACCAGCTCGATGCCCAACACGAATGCGCACTTGCCGCTGTCAGTCATTTCGAAACGCGCCTTCAAGTCACTCTTGGTACGCATAATCAGTTCGGTCGAGCTGCCAGTCACCAACACATCATCGACGTATACCAGCAAAAGCACGCACTCGCCACTTGTAATCTTGAGATAAAGACACGGGTCAAAATCGGATACTTGAAATCCAATGGAGCAGACGAACTCATGGAAAGTCTCATTCCTTGCGCGCGATGCTTGTTTTAGTCCGTAGATCGCCTTCAACAATTCGAAGCAGTCAAAGTCTTCATCAACTTCGACCCCTTCTGGGATCGCGCAGAATACCTTTTCCTTCATCTCTCCGCATAGCAAAGCTGTCACCACGTCCAGTAGGTCCAGTGTCCAGTCAAAGTACTTCGTGATTGCAACTACCATGCGCAGCGTCACGTACTTGACTACCGGAAAAACGTCTCCGTGTAGTCGATGCCATATTTCTGCTTGAACCCTTTTGCCACGAGACGCGCCTTGTATTTCTCGATGGATCCATCAGCTATCCGCTTGATATTGAATACCCACTTGGTGCCAATGGTATGCTGTCCAGCTGGCTGTTTGGGCGCTCGAAGCACGCCACGAAGTTTCATCGAGTCCAACTCGGCACAGATTGCTTTACGCCAATGCACTTGATCCGGTCCATCAACAGCATCTTTAAACGTTGTCGGCTCAGACAAGTCAGTACCTTCGACTGCGTTGACACTCGCTCGCCAAAAGACTTGAGGTGTAGCATCCTCGTTATCTTCGTCACTGCCCTTTCGCTCTTCGTCCAGATTGGCTCGAGCGCTTGACCGTCGCTTCGCTTGGTGCGTTTCAAATTCATCCGGTGCACTTGCTTCTTCGAACCCGGTTCCACGACGCTCAGGAAGTGTCCGTTGCAGAGCTTGTTCTTGGCTGTTTGAACGGCTTTTGCGTTTTCCAATTTGCTTGAACTGCATAGGGTGAGGCTCGTCGCTGATGTTCATCGATTCGATATCCAGCGCAGTGTCATCAACAATTTCTTGTGGTAGCGTCGGCGAGAAACCAAACGTTGATTCGTCGAATGTGACATCGCGAGATATCACCACTTGATCCGCTTCAATGTCGTAAACGCGATATGCCTTTGACACTTCTTCGTACCCCATGAATCGTCCTTCACGGGCCTTCGGATCCCATTTTGATCTCTTTTCCTTAGGGGTCAGCACAAATGGTCGGCAGCCGAAAACCCGCATGTGCTTCACACTTGGTCGAAATCCGTTGACGATCTCGAACGGGGTTTAATCTTGGCACTTGGGCGATGGTAGGCGATTCTTGATGTAGATTGCCGTTGTTGCATTGGTAGAGAGAGGAGCTGATGGAGCGGAGAGGCTGAAGAGAGTAGAGAAGAAGAGACTTGCTCACTAGTTGGAAGATTCGAAAGTGATTGATTTATCGGGGCTTACTACTTACTACATGATTTTTATGTGGTGCACATATAAATCATTTGAAGTGTCTCGTCATCCTACGCGTCTAATCAACTGTGTTAATTACCGTAAGAACTACGTCGTAAATACAAAGCTGAACAGGCGGTTCGGATTGGACGGTCATGGTTACCAATAATGGTCGGAAACCGATGACCGCCAACTAAGAGCTCACCGTAATTATGGAAACGTAACTCACAGCAAATGCAATGTCCGGTCGTGTCGCGATCATCAAGTGCATTAAAGCGCCTACTGCTTCACAAAACGGGGCGTCGATTTTGGTTACTGCACTGCTTGGTATGAGTCAAGAACTGATGTCTGTTGGGCTGGTGACGGCTTTGCAGTCGCTCATGCCAAAACGCTTGAGAACATCTTCCACGTAGCGTCACTGGCACATCGTCACGCTACCGTTGTCGTTGTCCACCAGCTCGATGCCCAACACGAATGCGCACTTGCCGCTGTCAGTCATTTCGAAACGCGCCTTCAAGTCACTCTTGGTACGCATAATCAGTTCGGTCGAGCTGCCAGTCACCAACACATCATCGACGTATACCAGCAAAAGCACGCACTCGCCACTTGTAATCTTGAGATAAAGACACGGGTCAAAATCGGATACTTGAAATCCAATGGAGCAGACGAACTCATGGAAAGTCTCATTCCTTGCGCGCGATGCTTGTTTTAGTCCGTAGATCGCCTTCAACAATTCGAAGCAGTCAAAGTCTTCATCAACTTCGACCCCTTCTGGGATCGCGCAGAATACCTTTTCCTTCATCTCTCCGCATAGCAAAGCTGCCACCACGTCCAGTAGGTCCAGTGTCCAGTCAAAGTACTTCGTGATTGCAACTACCATGCGCAGCGTCACGTACTTGACTACCGGAAAAACGTCTCCGTGTAGTCGATGCCATATTTCTGCTTGAACCCTTTTGTTGAAAAGACAGCGGCTGTAAAGAAGACACCTCGTCAAGCTGCGTCAAGTGTTGAAGCAAGTGGAAGACCAAGCCTCGCTATACCGGTGGGTACCGGTATGTACCAGTAAGGGCGAAGTCAGGAAATGACGTCACTGGATGACGTCATTGCATGACGTCAGTGGGTGACGTCAGTGGGTGACGTCAGTGGGTGACGTCACTGCGAATAATAGGCTTAGAGGTAGTATTCAAAGTTGCGAACTAAGTACCTATTATAAATATATATTCACTTTGCGTTTTGCACTCGGACCAAGAAGTCTAAAGTTCATCAGGTTATGAGCCCAAGTTCGTCAGACTCTGAAACCGCCAACAATTCAAGCTTAGCTGCCATGGACGCCTCCTCCCTCCGCATCTCCAAGTTCGATGGAACTAACTTCCACGCCTGGAAGTTCAAGATGCAGATGGTGCTGGAGGAACGGGACCTATGGGAGGTCGTCAGCGGTGAGATCAAGGCGGAACAGTGCGAGACTCAGTTGGACCAAGCGACGTACAAGAGGAAGTCAAGAAAGGCGATGGCAGTGATCTGTCTAGCCATGGAAGATTCCCAGCTATCGTTGGTCCGGTCGGCAAGTGGTGCATGCGACGCATGGTCAAGGTTGGAAGACCACTTCGAGAAGAAGAGTCTTGCCAACAAGCTGTTCTTGCGCCGTCGCTTCTTCACGACAATGATGGAAGAAGGCGACGATGTGCTCGAACACATCAACAAGCTCAAGACGCTGGCGGAACAGCTAGAAGCGGTGGGGGCTCCAGTCTGCGAGGACGATCTGGTGATCACACTCCTCGGCAGCCTGAGTGACTCGTATCAATTCTTGATCACAGCTTTGGAGTCGCGCTCAGACACTCTTAGCTGGGAGCTCGTGACGTCTCGACTGCTTCATGAAGAAATGAAGCGGAAGGAGCAAGGAAGTAAAGGTGATGAAGCTTCGCAAGGTCAAGCGTTCATCACAAGGGACAATCAGCGCAAAGGGCGACCAGTGAAGAAGTCCTGGCCGTGCCACAATTGCGGAAAGATTGGTCACTGGATGGCGGAGTGCCCCTCGCGCATCCAAGAAAACACGGAGAGACACCGGCCACAGCGTGCTCAAGACAGCGGCGACCGCTATCGATCACAACGTGCAAACGTCGCTCAAGAAGAAGACTCGGGCGACTACCTCTTTTCGATCGGTGAAACGACATCTGCGAAATCGAGCGACATCTGGCTGGTCGACTCCGGGGCGACGCAGCACATGACGTGCTCCAAGAAGTTCATGCGGAACTACAAGGGGTTTGACGCTGTGGATGTCCATCTCGCGGATGATGGAATCGTCCAAGCAATCGGCAGTGGGGACATTGTCATGTCGATGAAGACACCCCAAGGGATGAAGAAAGGTGTGCTCACAAACGTGTGGCACATCCCAAAGTTATCCAGAAACCTGTTCTCGGTCGGCCGCTTCACCAAGGATGTCGGCCCAGTGACGTTCACGAAGGATGGGTGCTATGGAGAAGCGAAAGGGACCAAGTGGAAAATTGGTGCCCGTGAAGGTAAAGGACTGTTCAAGCTGCAAATGACTCCAGTGGCGCCGGAACAAGCAAATGCAGCCAAGTCGTCGGGATGTCAAGGGGGCACCAAGTCGTACCTCTGGCACCTTCGGCTTGGCCACATAGGTCACGATGGACTCAATTGCATCGTGACGAAGAACATTGGAATTGGCATCGACATATCTTCGGTGAAGAAGTGGGACGTGTGTGAAGGTTGTGCTCTGGGAAAACAGACTCGAGTGCGCTTCCAATCAAACACTACAGCTCGCACCTCCAAACTCCTCGAAGTGATTCACAGCGACGTATGCGGACCGATGTCGATGGCAACTTTCAGTGGAAAACGGTACTTCGTGACATTCATTGATGACAAGTCAAGATACTGTGTCGTCTATCTGCTCAAGAGCAAATCTGAAGTTGCGGCGAAGTTCATGGAATACGCTGCGATGGCCGAAACGCAAACCGGAAAGCGCGTGAAGTACCTTCAAAGCGACAATGGGGGTGAATACAAGTCCGACAAGCTGGCACGATTCTGCGCGGAACGGGGAATACAACAAAGGTTCACACCCCCCATATACTCCTCAGCTAAACGGAGTAGCTGAGAGAATGAATCGCACGCTGGTCGAGTGTGCGCGTTGCATGATGGAACACGCTGGACTGGGAAAGAGCTACTGGGGTGAAGCAGTGATGACGGCGATGTTTCTTCGAAACCGCTGTCCAACACGTGCCATTCACCAAGACAAGTCTCCATATCAAGTGTGGACGATGAAGAAACCGATTCTGGCCAACCTTAAAGTGTTTGGATGCCACGCGTATGTTCAAGTGCCTCAAGACAAACGCGCGAAGTTCGACTCCAAGTCATCACTCTGTCGTTTCCTGGGATACGCCGAACACCAGAAGTCATATCGATTTGAGGAAGTGTCAACAGGAGCGATCAAGATCAGTCGCGATGCCACATTCATGGAAGACAAGTTTGATGAAGGTCCGCGCAACTACAACGATGAGTCAAGTGTCGTTGAGTTTGATGATCATGATGAGGACGAACAAAAAGAAGAAGGTAAAACTGACGACGACATGGACTCGAGCGACGATGACAACGAAGACACCAGGTCTTCGAAGAGCAACATCAAGAGACACACGCGCACTCAATCACTTGAGAAAGCTACCGTCATTCCAAGTCCCAAGCGAAGAACATACAGAGGTCCGTCGCTTGAGCATGTGTCAGCGGCTGCAATGGATTTTGAAGCAGCCTACATCGTTGATTCAGTGGGGGAAACGCCGACTACATTCAAGTCGGCGATGGAATCAAGCGACTCCGGCAAGTGGAAAGAAGCGTGTGACTCGGAGTTCGACTCGCTTCAGAGAAACGACACGTGGGAAATCGTGCCTCTTCCGAAAGGTCGCAAGGCCATCGGGTGCCGATGGGTTTTTCGTGTAAAGGAGAATCAAGATGGCGAAGTTGAACGTTTCAAGGCAAGACTTGTGGCCAAAGGATTCTCACAGAAATTCGGAGTTGACTATGAAGAAACTTTCGCACCGGTGGCCAAGTTCACATCGATTCGTGTGGTGCTCAGTATGGCGGCTAAGTACGGCCTGATGCTACATCAGATGGACGTCAAGACAGCGTTTCTTAACGGCTCCCTCAACGAAGACATCTACATGGACCAGCCGGACGGATACCTGGATGCAACACAGCCGGACTATGTGTGCAAGCTAAAGAGATCACTCTACGGCTTGAAGCAATCGCCTCGCATGTGGAACCAAACAATCGATGGGTTCATGATCAAGATGGGATTCAAGAAGTGCGAATCGGACCACTGCATCTACATCAAGCGAGACGACCAAGACATGATTCTCGTGGTACTCTACGTCGATGATCTCATCCTGGCCAGCAGCAACAACGAACTCCTCAAGTCAACCAAGATGGCGCTGAGCAAACGCTTCGAAATGACGGATCTCGGTGAGCCTCGATTACTTTCTCGGCATGGAGATCAAGAACGACCGTAAGACGGGAATGGTGACTGTACAACAAACCAAGTTCCTCAAGTCCGTGTTAACCAAGTTCGGAATGGATAACAGCAAGCCAGTGAAGACGCCTCAAGATCCCGGCCTGAAGCTAACCAAGAACATGTGTGAACAAGAATGCAAGCACGAAGACACCATGTGCAACGTGCCATATCGAAGTGCTGTCGGAGGCATCATGTATCTCATGGTCGCCACACGTCCGGATCTAGCTGCTGCAGTGGGATCATTATCCCAGTTCTCGTCCGACCCATGCCCGACTCACTGGCAAGCTTTGAAGCGTGTGCTGAGATACCTGCAAGCAACGCCCAATCATGGTCTTGAGTTTACACGTGAAGAAGGAAGCCGTATCTGCGGGTACACCGACGCAGACTGGGCCGGCGACATTGAGTCAAGACGAAGTACAAGCGGCTATGTGTTCATGATGAGCGGAGGATGCATCAGCTGGAAAAGCCAGAAACAACGGACGGTCGCGCTATCTTCAACAGAAGCAGAATACATGGCGCTTTCCGAAGCAACCAAAGAAGCAGTATGGCTCAAAGTGCTTTTGGGGGAACTTGGTGAGATGACAAGCGACGAAGCGATCAAGATGTATGAAGACAACCAAGGATCAATCGCTCTCGCCAAGAACCCGGAGTTCCATAAGAGAACAAAACACATCGACATACGCTACCATTTTGTGCGTGAGAAGGTGGAATCAGGTGAAGTCGTTTTGGAGTATTGCCCGACTCAAGATATGCTGGCAGACATGATGACCAAGCCGATCGCCGCTGTACAATTTGAAAACATTCGCGATCGACTTGGGATCCCAAGGTGCCGCAGCTAACGAGTCGAGAGGGAGTGTTGAAAAGACAGCGGCTGTGAAGAAGACACCTCGTCAAGCTGCGTCAAGTGTTGAAGCAAGTGGAAGACCAAGCCTCGCTATACCGGTGGGTACCGGTATGTACCAGTAAGGGCGAAGTCAGGAAATGACGTCACTGGATGACGTCATTGCATGACGTCAGTGGGTGACGTCAGTGGGTGACGTCACTGGATGACGTCACTGCGAATAATAGGCTTAGAGGTAGTATTCAAAGTTGCGAACTAAGTACCTATTATAAATATATATTCACTTTGCGTTTTTCACTCGGACCAAGAAGTCTAAAGTTCATCACCTTTTGCCACGAGACGCGCCTTGTATTTCTCGATGGATCCATCAGCTATCCGCTTGATATTGAATACCCACTTGGTGCCAATGGTATGCTGTCCAGCTGGCTGTTTGGGCGCTCGAAGCACGCCACGAAGTTTCATCGAGTCCAACTCGGCACAGATTGCTTTACGCCAATGCACTTGATCCGGTCCATCAACAGCATCTTTAAACGTTGTCGGCTCAGACAAGTCAGTACCTTCGACTGCGTTGACACTCGCTCGCCAAAAGACTTGAGGTGTAGCATCCTCGTTATCTTCGTCACTGCCCTTTCGCTCTTCGTCCAGATTGGCTCGAGCGCTTGACCGTCGCTTCGCTTGGTGCGTTTCAAAGTCATCCGGTGCACTTGCTTCTTCGAACCCGGTTCCACGACGCTCAGGAAGTGTCCGTTGCAGAGCTTGTTCTTGGCTGTTTGAACGGCTTTTGCGTTTTCCAATTTGCTTGAACTGCATAGGGTGAGGCTCGTCGCTGATGTTCATCGATTCGATATCCAGCGCAGTGTCATCAACAATTTCTTGTGGTAGCGTCGGCGAGAAACCAAACGTTGATTCGTCGAATGTGACATCGCGAGATATCACCACTTGATCCGCTTCAATGTCGTAAACGCGATATGCCTTTGACACTTCTTCGTACCCCATGAATCGTCCTTCACGGGCCTTCGGATCCCATTTTGATCTCTTTTCCTTAGGGGTCAGCACAAATGGTCGGCAGCCGAAAACCCGCATGTGCTTCACACTTGGTCGAAATCCGTTGACGATCTCGAACGGGGTTTAATCTTGGCACTTGGGCGATGGTAGGCGATTCTTGATGTAGATTGCCGTTGTTGCATTGGTAGAGAGAGGAGCTGATGGAGCGGAGAGGCTGAAGAGAGTAGAGAAGAAGAGACTTGCTCACTAGTTGGAAGATTCGAAAGTGATTGATTTATCGGGGCTTACTACTTACTACATGATTTTTATGTGGTGCACATATAAATCATTTGAAGTGTCTCGTCATCCTACGCGTCTAATCAACTGTGTTAATTACCGTAAGAACTACGTCGTAAATACAAAGCTGAACAGGCGGTTCGGATTGGACGGTCATGGTTACCAATAATGGTCGGAAACCGATGACCGCCAACTAAGAGCTCACCGTAATTATGGAAACGTAACTCACAGCAAATGCAATGTCCGGTCGTGTCGCGGTCATCAAGTGCATTAAAGCGCCTACTGCTTCACAAAACGGGGCGTCGATTTTGGTTACTGCACTGCTTGGTATGAGTCAAGAACTGATGTCTGTTGGGCTGGTGACGGCTTTGCAGTCGCTCATGCCAAAACGCTTGAGAACATCTTCCACGTAGCGTCACTGGCACATCGTCACGCTACCGTTGTCGTTGTACACCAGCTCGATGCCCAACACGAATGCGCACTTGCCGCTGTCAGTCATTTCGAAACGCGCCTTCAAGTCACTCTTGGTACGCATAATCAGTTCGGTCGAGCTGCCAGTCACCAACACATCATCGACGTATACCAGCAAAAGCACGCACTCGCCACTTGTAATCTTGAGATAAAGACACGGGTCAAAATGAGATACTTGAAATCCAATGGAGCAGACGAACTCATGGAAAGTCTCATTCCTTGCGCGCGATGCTTGTTTTAGTCCGTAGATCGCCTTCAACTATTCGAAGCAGTCAAAGTCTTCATCAACTTCGACCCCTTCTGGGATCGCGCAGAATACCTTTTCCTTCATCTCTCCGCATAGCAAAGCTGTCACCACGTCCAGTAGGTCCAGTGTCCAGTCAAAGTACTTCGTGATTGCAACTACCATGCGCAGCGTCACGTACTTGACTACCGGAAAAACGTCTCCGTGTAGTCGATGCCATATTTCTGCTTGAACCCTTTTGCCACGAGACGCGCCTTGTATTTCTCGATGGATCCATCAGCTATCCGCTTGATATTGAATACCCACTTGGTGCCAATGGTATGCTGTCCAGCTGGCTGTTTGGGCGCTCGAAGCACGCCACGAAGTTTCATCGAGTCCAACTCGGCACAGATTGCTTTACGCCAATGCACTTGATCCGGTCCATCAACAGCATCTTTAAACGTTGTCGGCTCAGACAAGTCAATACCTTCGACTGCGTTGACACTCGCTCGCCAAAAGACTTGAGGTGTAGCATCCTCGTTATCTTCGTCACTGCCCTTTCGCTCTTCGTCCAGATTGGCTCGAGCGCTTGACCGTCGCTTCGCTTGGTGCGTTTCAAAGTCATCCGGTGCACTTGCTTCTTCGAACCCGGTTCCACGACGCTCAGGAAGTGTCCGTTGCAGAGCTTGTTCTTGGCTGTTTGAACGGCTTTTGCGTTTTCCAATTTGCTTGAACTGCATAGGGTGAGGCTCGTCGCTGATGTTCATCGATTCGATATCCAGCGCAGTGTCATCAACAATTTCTTGTGGTAGCGTCGGCGAGAAACCAAACGTTGGTTCGTCGAATGTGACATCGCGAGATATCACCACTTGATCCGCTTCAATGTCGTAAACGCGATATGCCTTTGACACTTCTTCGTACCCCATGAATCGTCCTTCACGAGCCTTTGGATCCCATTTCGATCTCTTTTCCTTAGGGGTCAGCACAAATGGTCGGCAGCCGAAAACCCGCATGTGCTTCACACTTGGTCGAAATCCGTTGACGATCTCGAACGGGGTTTAATCTTGGCACTTGGGCGATGGTAGGCGATTCTTGATGTAGATTGCCGTTGTTGCATTGGTAGAGAGAGGAGCTGATGGAGCGGAGAGGCTGAAGAGAGTAGAGAAGAAGAGACTTGCTCACTTGTTGGAAGATTCGAAAGTAATTGATTATCGGGGCTTACTACTTACTACATGATTTTTATGTGGTGCACATATAACTCATTTGAAGTGTCTCGTCATCCTACGCGTTGTTGAAAAGACAGCGGCTGTGAAGAAGACACCTCGTCAAGCTGCGTCAAGTGTTGAAGCAAGTGGAAGACCAAGCCTCGCTATACCGGTGGGTACCGGTATGTACCAGTAAGGGCGAAGTCAGGAAATGACGTCACTGGATGACGTCATTGCATGACGTCAGTGGGTGACGTCAGTGGGTGACGTCACTGGATGACGTCACTGCGAATAATAGGCTTAGAGGTAGTATTCAAAGTTGCGAACTAAGTACCTATTATAAATATATATTCACTTTGCGTTTTGCACTCGGACCAAGAAGTCTAAAGTTCATCAGGTTATGAGCCCAAGTTCGTCAGACTCTGAAACCGCCAACAATTCAAGCTTAGCTGCCATGGACGCCTCCTCCCTCCGCATCTCCAAGTTCGATGGAACTAACTTCCACGCCTGGAAGTTCAAGATGCAGATGGTGCTGGAGGAACGGGACCTATGGGAGGTCGTCAGCGGTGAGATCAAGGCGGAACAGTGCGAGACTCAGTTGGACCAAGCGACGTACAAGAGGAAGTCAAGAAAGGCGATGGCAGTGATCTGTCTAGCCATGGAAGATTCCCAGCTACCGTTGGTCCGGTCGGCAAGTGGTGCATGCGACGCGTGGTCAAGGTTGGAAGACCACTTCGAGAAGAAGAGTCTTGCCAACAAGCTGTTCTTGCGCCGTCGCTTCTTCACGACAATGATGGAAGAAGGCGACGATGTGCTCGAACACATCAACAAGCTCAAGACGCTGGCGGAACAGCTAGAAGCGGTGGGGGCTCCAGTCTGCGAGGACGATCTGGTGATCACACTCCTCGGCAGCCTGAGTGACTCGTATCAATTCTTGATCACAGCTTTGGAGTCGCGCTCAGACACTCTTAGCTGGGAGCTCGTGACGTCTCGACTGCTTCATGAAGAAATGAAGCGGAAGGAGCAAGGAAGTAAAGGTGATGAAGCTTCGCAAGGTCAAGCGTTCATCACAAGGGACAATCAGCGCAAAGGGCGACCAGTGAAGAAGTCCTGGCCGTGCCACAATTGCGGAAAGATTGGTCACTGGATGGCGGAGTGCCCCTCGCGCTGTTGAAAAGACAGCGGCTGTGAAGAAGACACCTCGTCAAGCTGCGTCAAGTGTTGAAGCAAGTGGAAGACCAAGCTTCGCTATACCGGTGGGTACCGGTATGTACCAGTAAGGGCGAAGTCAGGAAATGACGTCATTGGATGACGTCAGTGGGTGACTTCAGTGGGTGACGTCACTGGATGACGTCACTGCGAATAATAGGCTTAGAGGTAGTATTCAAAGTTGCGAACTAAGTACCTATTATAAATATATATTCACTTTGCGTTTTGCACTCGGACCAAGAAGTCTAAAGTTCATCAGGTTATGAGCCCAAGTTCGTCAGACTCTGAAACCGCCAACAATTCAAGCTTAGCTGCCATGGACGCCTCCCTCCCTCCGCATCTCCAAGTTCGATGGAACTAACTTCCACGCCTGGAAGTTCAAGATGCAGATGGTGCTGGAGGAACGGGACCTATGGGAGGTCGTCAGCGGTGAGATCAAGGCGGAACAGTGCGAGACTCAGTTGGACCAAGCGACGTACAAGAGGAAGTCAAGAAAGGCGATGGCAGTGATCTGTCTAGCCATGGAAGATTCCCAGCTACCGTTGGTCCGGTCGGCAAGTGGTGCATGCGACGCATGGTCAAGGTTGGAAGACCACTTCGAGAAGAAGAGTCTTGCCAACAAGCTGTTCTTGCGTCGTCGCTTCTTCACGACAATGATGGAAGAAGGCGACGATGTGCTCGAACACATCAACAAGCTCAAGACGCTGGCGGAACAGCTAGAAGCGGTGGGGGCTCCAGTCTGCGAGGACGATCTGGTGATCACACTTCTCGGCAGCCTGAGTGACTCGTATCAATTCTTGATCACAGCTTTGGAGTCGCGCTCAGACACTCTTAGCTGGGAGCTCGTGATGTCTCGACTGCTTCATGAAGAAATGAAGCGGAAGGAGCAAGGAAGTAAAGGTGATGAAGCTTCGCAAGGTCAAGCGTTCATCACAAGGGACAATCAGCGCAAAGGGCGACCAGTGAAGAAGTCCTGGCCGTGCCACAATTGCGGAAAGATTGGTCACTGGATGGCGGAGTGCCCCTCGCGCATCCAAGAAAACACGGAGAGACACCGGCCACAGCGTGCTCAAGACAGCGGCGACCGCTATCGATCACAACGTGCAAACGTCGCTCAAGAAGAAGACTCGGGCGACTACCTCTTTTCGATCGGTGAAACGACATCTGCGAAATCGAGCGACATCTGGCTGGTCGACTCCGGGGCGACGCAGCACATGACGTGCTCCAAGAAGTTCATGCGGAACTACAAGGGGTTTGACGCTGTGGATGTCCATCTCGCGGATGATGGAATCGTCCAAGCAATCGGCAGTGGGGACATTGTCATGTCGATGAAGACACCCCAAGGGATGAAGAAAGGTGTGCTCACAAACGTGTGGCACATCCCAAAGTTATCCAGAAACCTGTTCTCGGTCGGCCGCTTCACCAAGGATGTCGGCCCAGTGACGTTCACGAAGGATGGGTGCTATGGAGAAGCGAAAGGGACCAAGTGGAAAATTGGTGCCCGTGAAGGTAAAGGACTGTTCAAGCTGCAAATGACTCCAGTGGCGCCGGAACAAGCAAATGCAGCCAAGTCGTCGGGATGTCAAGGGGGCACCAAGTCGTACCTCTGGCACCTTCGGCTTGGCCACATAGGTCACGATGGACTCAATTGCATCGTGACGAAGAACATTGGAATTGGCATCGACATATCTTCGGTGAAGAAGTGGGACGTGTGTGAAGGTTGTGCTCTGGGAAAACAGACTCGAGTGCGCTTCCAATCAAACACTACAGCTCGCACCTCCAAACTCCTCGAAGTGATTCACAGCGACGTATGCGGACCGATGTCGATGGCAACTTTCAGTGGAAAACGGTACTTCGTGACATTCATTGATGACAAGTCAAGATACTGTGTCGTCTATCTGCTCAAGAGCAAATCTGAAGTTGCGGCGAAGTTCATGGAATACGCTGCGATGGCCGAAACGCAAACCGGAAAGCGCGTGAAGTACCTTCAAAGCGACAATGGGGGTGAATACAAGTCCGACAAGCTGGCACGATTCTGCGCGGAACGGGGAATACAACAAAGGTTCACACCCCCATATACTCCTCAGCTAAACGGAGTAGCTGAGAGAATGAATCGCACGCTGGTCGAGTGTGCGCGTTGCATGATGGAACACGCTGGACTGGGAAAGAGCTACTGGGGTGAAGCAGTGATGACGGCGATGTTTCTTCGAAACCGCTGTCCAACACGTGCCATTCACCAAGACAAGTCTCCATATCAAGTGTGGACGATGAAGAAACCGATTCTGGCCAACCTTAAAGTGTTTGGATGCCACGCGTATGTTCAAGTGCCTCAAGACAAACGCGCGAAGTTCGACTCCAAGTCATCACTCTGTCGTTTCCTGGGATACGCCGAACACCAGAAGTCATATCGATTTGAGGAAGTGTCAACAGGAGCGATCAAGATCAGTCGCGATGCCACATTCATGGAAGACAAGTTTGATGAAGGTCCGCGCAACTACAACGATGAGTCAAGTGTCGTTGAGTTTGATGATCATGATGAGGACGAAGAAAAAGAAGAAGGTAAAACTGACGACGACATGGACTCGAGCGACGATGACAACGAAGACACCAGGTCTTCGAAGAGCAACATCAAGAGACACACGCGCACTCAATCACTTGAGAAAGCTACCGTCATTCCAAGTCCCAAGCGAAGAACGTACAGAGGTCCGTCGCTTGAGCATGTGTCAGCGGCTGCAATGGATTTTGAAGCAGCCTACATCGTTGATTCAGTGGGGGAAACGCCGACTACATTCAAGTCGGCGATGGAATCAAGCGACTCCGGCAAGTGGAAAGAAGCGTGTGACTCGGAGTTCGACTCGCTTCAGAGAAACGACACGTGGGAAATCGTGCCTCTTCCGAAAGGTCGCAAGGCCATCGGGTGCCGATGGGTTTTTCGTGTAAAGGAGAATCAAGATAGCGAAGTTGAACGTTTCAAGGCAAGACTTGTGGCCAAAGGATTCTCACAGAAATTCGGAGTTGACTATGAAGAAACTTTCGCACCGGTGGCCAAGTTCACATCGATTCGTGTGGTGCTCAGTATGGCGGCCAAGTACGGCCTAATGCTACATCAGATGGACGTCAAGACAGCGTTTCTTAACGGCTCCCTCAACGAAGACATCTACATGGACCAGCCGGACGGATACCTGGATGCAACACAGCCGGACTATGTGTGCAAGCTAAAGAGATCACTCTACGGCTTGAAGCAATCGCCTCGCATGTGGAACCAAACAATCGATGGGTTCATGATCAAGATGGGATTCAAGAAGTGCGAATCGGACCACTGCATCTACATCAAGAGAGACGACCAAGACATGATTCTCGTGGTGCTCTACGTCGATGATCTCATCCTGGCCAGCAGCAACAACGAACTCCTCAAGTCGACCAAGATGGCGCTGAGCAAACGCTTCGAAATGACGGATCTCGGTGAGCTCGATTACTTTCTCGGCATGGAGATCAAGAACGACCGTAAGACGGGAATGGTGACTGTACAACAAACCAAGTTTCTCAAGTCCGTGTTGACCAAGTTCGGAATGGATAACAGCAAGCCAGTGAAGACGCCTCAAGATCCCGGCCTGAAGCTAACCAAGAACATGTGTGAACAAGAATGCAAGCACGAAGACACCATATGCAACGTGCCATATCGAAGTGCTGTCGGAGGCATCATGTATCTCATGGTCGCCACACGTCCGGATCTAGCTGCTGCAGTGGGATCATTATCCCAGTTCTCGTCCGACCCATGCCCGACTCACTGGCAAGCTTTGAAGAGTGTGCTGAGATACCTGCAAGCAACGCCCAATCATGGTCTTGAGTTTACACGTGAAGAAGGAAGCCGTATCTGCGGGTACACCGACGCAGACTGGGCCGGCGACATTGAGTCAAGACGAAGTACAAGCGGCTATGTGTTCATGATGAACGGAGGATGCATCAGCTGGAAAAGCCAGAAACAACGGACGGTCGCGCTATCTTCAACAGAAGCAGAATACATGGCGCTTTCCGAAGCAACCAAAGAAGCAGTATGGCTCAAGGTGCTTTTGGGGGAACTTGGTGAGATGACAAGCGACGAAGCGATCAAGATGTATGAAGACAACCAAGGATCAATCGCTCTCGCCAAGAACCCGGAGTTCCATAAGAGAACAAAACACATCGACATACGCTACCATTTTGTGCGTGAGAAGGTGGAATCAGGTGAAGTCGTTTTGGAGTATCGCCCGACTCAAGATATGCTGGCAGACATGATGACCAAGCCGATCGCCGCTGTACAATTTGAAAACATTCGCGATCGACTTGGGATCCAAGGTACCGCAGCTAACGAGTCGAGAGGGAGTGTTGAAAAGACAGCGGCTGTGAAGAAGACACCTCGTCAAGCTGCGTCAAGTGTTGAAGCAAGTGGAAGACCAAGCTTCGCTATACCGGTGGGTACCGGTATGTACCAGTAAGGGCGAAGTCAGGAAATGACGTCATTGGATGACGTCAGTGGGTGACTTCAGTGGGTGACGTCACTGGATGACGTCACTGCGAATAATAGGCTTAGAGGTAGTATTCAAAGTTGCGAACTAAGTACCTATTATAAATATATATTCACTTTGCGTTTTGCACTCGGACCAAGAAGTCTAAAGTTCATCACGCGCATCCAAGAAAACACGGAGAGACACCGGCCACAGCGTGCTCAAGACAGCGGCGACCGCTATCGATCACAACGTGCAAACGTCGCTCAAGAAGAAGACTCGGGCGACTACCTCTTTTCGATCGGTGAAACGACATCTGCGAAATCGAGCGACATCTGGCTGGTCGACTCCGGGGCGACGCAGCACATGACGTGCTCCAAGAAGTTCATGCGGAACTACAAGGGGTTTGACGCTGTGGATGTCCATCTCGCGGATGATGGAATCGTCCAAGCAATCGGCAGTGGGGACATTGTCATGTCGA